ATTTGGGTTTAGCTCCAGTATCAGTAGTTGCATTTTATTTAACATCTCAATGCAGCATAAATTTCATTAACTAAGTTGCTAAGCATACATTTAAAAACAAATTCTTCAGTCTGAAAAATTTCCAAACTACTCAAAAAAAAGAAAGAAAAGAAAAGCACCTCAAATGTCTTTGCTTTTTTGTTTAGTTTGCTGATGGTGCAATGAATCAAGGGATATCCTCAATGTTATAAAATTTTAATATAAAACAGGGAAACTGGCCTTTAATAACCTATGCCGGCGTATATATCTGAAATGTGAATTTCTATATTATCACAAAACTATCAGAAATCCAAAAAAATGTTTTTTGTAATCTTCTATATTAAGGTAAATATATTTATTTTTAATTGGTGGAGATGACATTTAAGATAATTCTGATGTCCTAGTAGCATATTTTTCGTATTAAAATCTAAAACGGGAGAGATAGGAATGTGATTTGATTATATGCTACAACGACCTGCCACAAATCCCTCCCACTTCCAGACTTGATGTAGTCCTGTGTGTTTGTCCTGATGATTGGCTGCAACACAAGTCCTCAAGTGTTTTCTGCTCTTGAAGTGGTACGGGGCTTCATCAGGGACAAATTGCTAGAGAGAAAAAAAAAAAAACTTGTGTAGCTCTCAGCCTACGCAGCTGTCTGCCAGCTTTGGCCTGTTCRGCCGAGGTCATTTTATGAAACAATTGTGCCACAAAGTCACTCTGTCAGGTTTTATTAAATGAAACTTTTAACCTGGGCTCAAACCCAGAGGAGCCCTGTGTGAYGGTAAAAACAAATCTGATTTAGGGTCATATCCATTCAGAATAACACAAAACCTGGGTTTTAGAATAAAACTGCCTAGTTTTGACATAACTCTCGTTTGTCTCTAGGTGAGTGTAAATGGTCATCTCATTTGTCTCTCCCTGTGATGGGCTTGCGACCTGGGGTGTTCCCTGCTTCTCACACAGTGATTGCTGGACATGGACACCAGCTYCCTGCAAAGGAAAAGCAGGTAAAAAAGATGGATGGATGAACCTGGTTATAGGTCTTTAATAAAAGTAACGATTGGTGGATTTCTGTCAGGTGCCTGTAACTAAAACTGGGTCACTGAGCGACATTGCCCAGGGGCTCTGAGGGTGTTAATCCTGCCTGCTAGATAATCACAACGTCAGCATTCCTCCTGACATTTGTCAATAAAATAACCTGCAGTTCGTTTATATTTTTACCCAACTCAGTGTTGCTGTAGAGTACTCCTGTTTGACTTTTTAATAGTGTGAGRATAATTTCTTGTCAGCAAGACTTCAAGAGTCCAGTTTGGTTTAAAATAAATCATAACTGAGGATTTAAAGCAAAACAATCAGAATGCATGCACAGTAACTTTATTTCACATTTGAATGAGGTTCGACAGCACCTTTGTCAAGGTTTCAGAACAATAAGAAAAAAATAATACCGTTCGTGAAATAAACTTTGCAGAATATAAAGTGTTTCAGCTCATCATTTTAAAATAAGTCTTTAAAACATGCATAGTCATGTGAAAAACATGATCAAATATGCAGCCCAGAGGACTCAGGTGTGGGATTTCCTGTCATCCAAAGTAAAGTGTGACTATCTGTGAAACCAGCAGAGTACAGTGTTCAAACACAGATGGCTCCTCTGAGGAAGTGCTGTGTTCATGTCAGACATGTTACTTATATTTTTGACCAGTTTGAAACCATRACTSTTCAACAAGTTCACCCTTWATTTATTTTATTTTTTCCATAYATTTGTTGACACAATGTGTTGCACATTAGGAAATCCTTACAGGTTGTCTGGTTTTCATACGTTTTTATAGTTCAAAACCCACTAAGGGCATCACTCCACTGCCAAAAAAAATATAAAGCCTATAATAAGATCCCGATTTTTATTTTATATGAATCCTTACTGGTTTTGTTCTTTCAAACTGAAAAACAAAAACAAACAAACAAACAAAMAAAACAAAGAAACAGWACATAAAACATACCGTAATCAGACATTTTTAAAAAAGAGCTTTATAAATAAAGTAGTAGTGTACATTCATTGACTGCATGTCGTCCACCAAATTGTAAGTCAAAAATTTTAACCAAGATCATGCAAAATTTGTTAGCACTGACATTTATTTTATTTGGATTACTCTCAGCTACAATTGKTCCAAATGTCTCCTAATATCTGTAAAAATTAACTGAGTTATAGCCATTTTACTATTAAATGATGCCAATTAGCTRTGGTTGCTATCTTGAGTCGGGTTGATTCCAGATGTTAACGAGTTCTAGATGYACATTAGGTGACTATTTATTGAGAGATCCTTTAAAAACCATTCAGTAATTCATGAGATATTTGGTTAACAAATAATAGACAAATAAGCATGCAGACAATTACAAAAATCACTTGTTTTTAATGATTTTGGGCACAATTCTGTTAATCCATTAACAGCAGAACTAGCTTCTCATTTAGCGTATTAGCTTTTGTTTGTGTGCTAACTTTGGAAACTGTTAATGACTGTATTAGCTTCCACTAATTTTAAGTCCACTAAAAATTCACAAGTGTAAGTCTGTCAAAATCGATAAAAATAATGTTTAACAATATTTAAATAACAAATACAAAAACTGACTACGAATAAAATATGGTAGAGAAAGTATTTATTTGTTGTTTAATTAACTTCAAATAGTATTTATAAAAATACAAACTTGATCAAAGAAATGCTTTTATTCTGAAGTCTGGTTTGGATTGGTCGATTCAACACCCACCTTCCAATTAAATTGGAAGATAATCTAATTCCCATCCCATCCTATTGGTCGATAATCCCACCCACCTTCCAATTAAACCAATAGAAAACTAACCAGTCTTCAATCGTCTTAGCGGTCAGCATTAGCTTCCACTAATATTATATCTGTTTAGCGTTTTTTTGTTAGGGGAGCTAATTTTTTTGTTTGGCAGATTAGTGGTTAACAAACCTAACTTTTTGTTATCTGTGCCCACCACTGATAAAAAATAAAACCCTCCTGAAAAKCTTTGCCCTGGCCTCTCAAAATGTGAGCAGCTGATGGCCGAGGCTGGCGGTCTGAACTGTGTCAGACACATTATATCAGTTCTCAGCTGGACCTCAACAGATGCCTTATTCCTGTGAGCGACTCTAGCATGAGGCAGACACACAAGATGCTTCATGGCTCCTCAACACAACGTTAGAAATAGCTGCAACAGTCAGAGGAGTGATCTGTGCTGGACCGCTGACAATGCGCTGAAAACACTGTCCGCTTGTTGTCATGGTGACGCAGATAAAAAGAAAATCTAACAGAGTCAACCTTCGATTMTCTCGTCCCCGTCTTTGTTTTCTGGCTCACATTTAGTAAAAACATGAAAATCACTCCCTGTCGTCGGATCAGTTTTTTTATATTCTGGTGAAACCATCCGGGTTTAGTCAGCACTCGTACGAAGCGCTCTCCTTCTCTGCCCCGTCGAGTCTTTTATTTCAGCTACCATCTCTTCAGAACCGTCACCATAACAACCACAAATGTTCTGACAGGTTTTTGTGGCGCCGCAGTGAGAGGTGAAGCCTCGGTGGGAGAGAAAGCGACAGAGCCACCCACCCACCAAACCAAAACTCCTGCACCAGTAAATGGACAGCATGTTCCCAGATCAGGTGCTGTTTCTTTACAAACACGTTCCTCTGCTGAGTCACATGTTTGTTTTTACATCCATTCATCATCTTTATCCTCTTTTTCATTTCTGGGTCACAGGGGTCACTGCTGTCCATGTCCAGCCATCCCTGTGCGAGAGGCGGGGGAAGCCACGGACAGGTGGCAAGTCCATCACAGGGACACACAAACAACCATTCACAATCTCATGCACACCTAGGGACAGCTGCAGTTACCAACTAATGTGTGAGGAAACCTGAGTGCCTGGAGAAAACACACAAGTGCACGGAGAGAACATGTAGACTCCTTTCAGCAAGGCTGGGGTTTGATCCTGCGACCTGTTCAGCTTGTAGACACGGGGAAACAAACTCATCAGCAGTGGTGGGCACAGTTCCCCTAAAGCACTAAAGCACTAATAGGGGAACTAATTTTCTGATTAGCGCTTTAGAGTTTTTGCTAATTTTAAGGGGGCAATATAATGTAAAATCAACTTTTTTGAGTTTTATATCATGTTGTAATGTTATACTC